TATATATATATATATATATTTATCTTCTACTTCAATCTTATCGATTTCTTTCCAATCGCAAATTTTTAAAAAATCAATTTATTGAAATGAAGTAACAAAAGTTTTTAAGAAAAAAATGTTAAGACCTATATTTTCAAAATACAATTTCATATATCTTGAACAAGAATGAGGATCCCACCAAGCAAAACATAATATCTTATGAAGTATCCATATATCTATAAAATATTGTGTTGATGTGTTTGACACGTTTCTGACACAACACTTGTCAAACACGTCATAACACCTTTAACACATTTATATCATATTACAATTAAAAGTTATTTTATTGTTCAAAACCTCTCCAACACGACTTTAACACATTTTTAACTTAACTTGAATACGAATTAAGGGGGTTAAATTGACTTTTAACTATTAAATTACTCAATATTTTGATTTTTAAGAAATATGATTCTATCTTTTAATAATTATTATCATATAAAAGTTATAAAATTTATATATACATTGTGTCTCGCGTCCTACATTTTAGACATTAGTCTTGTCATGATGTCCGTGTATGTGTCATGTTAGGTGTTTCTATGTAATATACCTTAATATATGAACCCCTAATTCCTTGTTTGTGATAGCACGTAAAGGTAAGGTTGAGTGTTATGCCTAGAACCGTCCCACTTTGTTTGGGCTTTTACAGACCATCAATAGGCCGAGGCCTTTTGTTTTTGTCTATGAGAAATAAGATGAATTTTATTGGAGAGTACAAGAATAAGTCTTGTGTCAAAAAGTCAATAACTGAATGTAGAAAGAGAAATGAGGCCCAACCTAATTGAAGAGAACAATTTGTGTACTGTACAAAGACCCAGATGCTGATGTCTACATTGCCGAATTTTTTACCAAAATATTTTTTTTTTTTTTTTAAATTACAAGATTAACAACTGTGCAGGTTTATTTACCACACTAGAACCATTTACTGTGCATGCTCAGAATTCGGTTCCCGGAAAACCGAATTTTGAGCTTCAAAGTATTATTTTTTTTGTTTTTTCAACTCAGAATTCGGTTCCTGGGGAACCGAATTCTGAGTTGTTTTTATATTTTTTTTTTTCAGAGTTAATCACCTATATATTGTCAGTGTAAAAATTTTTTAAACTGACGGTTAATCAGAACTGTTAATAGTGTCTTTTCATCTGTTCATTTAATTAAATTAAAATAAAAAAGCACTATTAACGACTCTGATTGACTGTCAATATAAAAAACTTTACACTAGCAGTATTAACTCAATAAATAATCTTTAAGGGTGACCGACTTTTTTATTTATAAAAATTAATTATTAGTAAAATTAGTAAATATTCACACTGATAACCTAAAAAATAATTGAAGTATAAAAAAAATGATTCCATATATATAAATATATACCTCATTAAAATATTAATGAATTTAATTTCTATATAGACTATCGGTATCAATATTTTATTTATTAACTGATTAAGAATAATTTTAAATGGTGACTTTTAAAATAATTATCACAAAATTAATAATATTTTATTATATTATAATTCATAATTGAATGGTAGTGAAAAGAAAAAGATTGTCAGTATATTTAAATTAAATTTAAAGATTATTTTCATTCTTTATTAATAAAATTGTAAATCATACATATTTTAATTTAAGGTAAGAATTTAATTAGAATACGTCATTAGTGTAATATTTCACACTACCAATTAATTATGAATTGTTATATGTTTTAAAAAAAAAAGTAGTCATTTTTTTTGTAATCAATATATTTTGAAAAAGGTTGAAAATATAAAAGTAAGTAAACATATACAATAAATAAAAAATACATGGAGAAATAAATTGAAACAAATTTACAGTTTAAATAAATTTTCCTGTGACAATCTTAATTAAAAAAAATACTACGTTTATAAATATAAATGTTATAATTAAAAATTATAATTTATATTATGCATTCTACATACACAAATACCAATAGTAATTGTGAATAATATGTAACCAATCTGAGATTTTTCAATAATAAAACAAAAAGACATGGGCCTACAACATCATATTGATGGGCCTGTGTATTAAAAAAAGGAAAAAGTAAAGGTGGTAGTTGTTCAACAATGAACAGAGGTAAGTA